TCAGTGCCAGAGACCTCGCCTACTCTGTATTAGACGAGGGAGGTTGGCGATGCATCGGCATTTTGGGTCTGAATTTCGCATGCCCTTGTCCGCGATACCACGGCAGACAAGCTCTTTTCTCGCACCATTTGCTGTGTCTTCCTTGGTTCCACCCCTGACACGCCTGGCTGGCACTTTTACCACCCAGTGTTGCATCGCGTCCTGCCCTCCCAGGACGTCACCTTCGACTAGTCGGTTTGGTAATACCGTCTCTACCCCCACCGCCATACCCCCATCCCCTCCGCCCGCCTCTCATCCTGGTCCCAGGTCCTCCCACGGTAGACCCCCTCCCCCCATAGGGTCCTGCTCCCTCGGGTGTGTCACAAGTAGACCCACTTCCTTTGGTTGAGCCTTTGGAGATCATCTCTAACACTTTTGGCCCAGCTGAGGGGGGTGACACTGTTGCTGACAACATAGCGACCACTTGCCACTTACTGGGCTTGGAGAACCCTCTTGGTTTTCCACCTCGGCCGTCTTCGCCGCCTCTGCAGCCTGCTGCTGTAGACTCTGGTGCTGCTGGAAGTCGTGACGCTGGGGGTGCGGACTCTACGGGTGGTGACACTGGAGGTGCTGGTTCGGGGGGTGCTAGTGGTTCTGAGTGTCCTAGTGGTGGTGGAGTCGCTGGTGCTCCTGCTGGAGGTTCCGGGGGTCGACAGCAGTAGTAGTCTCGTCGGCAGGAGTCTCTCTTGCAACAGCAGCTTTGTGAGTAGGTTATTCGGCGTTCGCACTAGTCGCGGAGCTGGAAGTGTTGGAGGCGCTGAGACTTGAGGTAATGGCGCTGGAGGTGCTGGAGGCGCTGGAGCTGTAGGTCTTGGAGCTGGCGGTGCTGGTGCTGGAGGCGCTGGAGCTGGAGGTCCTAGTGCAGGCGGTATTGGTGCTGGAGTTGTTGTACCTGGAGGTACTCGTGCTAGAGGCACCAGAGCTGGAGGTACTGGAGGTGCTGGAGGCGATGGGCTTGGAGGTCCTGGTGCTGGAGGTACTGGAGGCACTGGTGCTGTAGGTACTGGTGCTGGTAGTGCTGGAGATACTGGAGGTACTGGAGTTGGAGGTGTTTGTGATGGAGGTACTAGAGCTGGAGGCTCTGGTAATGTGTGTTAATATGAGAGTAGTAGCCATGTCTTAGCAAGATAGGTTGAAGAGATGCACTAACAAGAGTGTCGAGATACAAATGTAGGAAACCCTAGTTGAACTTAGGGTGTGTTTAGTTTGTGCTAGAAACAAAGAAATGAACTTAAACTAAACCAAAGGTGAAACTCGCTTTAAGCATGGCAAAATAATAAACGAACACCATAATAAATGCCAGAGCCAGCTCTAGCTTACTCCAACACACCCCCAGGCTAGGTGAAGCTCTAGAAAAAAACACGTAGCGAATATGAACACCCCCAGAAGTGGCGAGACGAGTGAGCCCAAGTGCGCACATGTAGAAACGGTGTGGTGCACAAAGGAGAGCCTTGGTGAAACTATCAGCAAGGTTGGCAGTAGCGGCCACCTTGCGAAGGCAGAGGAAGCCAGGCTGTACCAGCTCGTACACGAAGAAGTAGCGGACCTCGACGTGTTTGCTGCGAGCGTGTTAGATAGGATTTTCAGTGAGGTGAATCATGCTCGCACTGTCACAGGAGAGCGTCACAGAGGGCTGAGAGTGATCAAGCTCAGCAAGGAGAAACGAGAGCCAGTAAGCCTCCTGAGCCGCCAATATGCTTGCATACAACTTAGCCTTGCAGGTGGAAAGACAGACAGAGGATGAACGAGTGGAGCGCCAGCTGATGAGGCCACTGCCAAGTGTAAAACCATAACCCTGAGAGGAGCGGCGATTAGGGCGAGAATCAGCGTAGGAGGAATCACTGTAACCAGAAAGAACGGGGGGAGAAGAGCCACCAAGAGTGAGTGCAAGATCAGAGGTAGCGTGGAGATAGTAGAGAACGCGTCTGGCAGCCGCCTAGTGCACATCAGTGTGGTAACCAAGGCCAAAAAAACGAGAGAGGACACTGAGGGGGTAAGCAAGATCGGGACGAGTGCACATCATAGCATACATGAGTGACCCAACAAGCTCAGGATAGGGTCGCAATTCTGAGGAGGGAGCGGGAACAGAATGGGCAGTAAGCTGATGGTTAGTGGGAAGTGGCGTGGAAACAAGCTTGGCATGTGACATTTCAAAGTGCTCAAGAATGGAGTGGATGTAGAAGGATTGAGAGAGAGAGATGGTGCGGGCAGCACGATTACGACGGATCACCATGCCGTGGTAATGAAGAAGCTTGCCAAGATCCTTGCACAGGAGGCGCGCCTAGAGGGCCTGCTTGATAGCGGCAAGGTCGGCAGATTTTTCAGCGAGGAGCACCATGTCATCGACGTAGGCAAGAATGTAAAGTATGTGGGGGGAGGTGCGAATGAAGAGACTGGGGTTGGAAGAAGAGGTAGAGAAGCCAAGAGAGTAAAGAGTAGAGGCGAGCTTAGCATGCCACTCGCGCGGGGCCTGCTTAAGACCATACACTGGGCGCCTCAGCTCCAAGACAGATCGTGGAGGGAACGGACAAGGAAAGTCAGCGGGGCGCTCAACGAAAATGCGTTCATGAAGCTCGCCCTGGAGAAATGCATTGGAGACATCCATAAAGTCAATCTCCCAATGCCAGCGAGCGCCTAGATAAAAAAGGAGGCAAAGAGTGGGGAGACGGGAAGTGGGGGAGTAAGTGGCAAAGTAATCAACGCCTTCACATAGGGTGAAACGTTTGGCGCAGTAACAGGCTTTGAAGATAGGTAGCTCCCCAGGCAGCTGTTGAACACGAAAGACCCATTTGCCCTTGACAATGGTGGCGCCAGGGGGGGAGATAGAGTCAACATAAGATTGAGTTTTGGTGAATGCCTCATACTCGGCAATAACGGCAGCCATCCACTTAGTTGCATGAAAGCCAAACACTACCTTATAATTGGTATGAGGGGTGGGAATAGAGGCACTGTCGACGGAGAGAAGAGTGGGAGAATTGGAGACTTCGCCAATGGTGAGACAGATGAGGGGTGAAATGGGATGAATAGAGAATAGCGCTTCAAATTGATCCTCAAGAAGATCGACGTTTTGAGAGGGAGAGAGACAAGTTAAGACAGCAGAGTGATGAAAATTGGACATTGCATGGGTCATGGAGCGGGTGAGATGTGGATAAGGTGGAGGAACAGGAGCGGAAGGAAGAGTAGTAGAAGGAGGTGGTGAGGGAGAGGGCGGGGGAGTAAGAGCAGAGGGAGGGAGAGGAGAAGGATGTTGTGAAGAAGAGGGCATGGGAGTAGAAGAGGAAGACGGAGGAGGAGAGGTGCCGGAGATGACAGCAGAGGGGGTAGTGGAGGGGGCAGGGAGGGGAGGCGGAGCAGGGGGAGGAGGAAGTGGAGAAGGAGAGGGTGCAGCAGAGGGCAGCGGATCAAAGTCAGACAAATGAAGAGAGGGAGGAGGAGGGGTGGGAGGGGGGGTGAGGAATGGAGGTCGAGTCTCATCAAAGATAACATCCTGGCTGCGAATGAGCTGCTGAGAAGAGGGAGCGTAGAAAAGATAGCCAGGACAGTCAGCGTTGATGCCAATGAACGCACAGAGCTGCGTCTTGGGAGCGAGCTTACCACCCTGATGTGCTCGATCAGTGGGATTGATAAGGACATAAGCTACACAGCCCCACACCCGAAGATGGCAGGCAGAGGGCTGGCGGCCAGTCCAGAGCTAGAAGGGTGTAAAGGAAGGGCAAAGGGGATGGGGCGAAGGTTGGAAAGAAGAGTGGCATGAACAAGAGCGTAGCTCCAAAGAGAGTGTGGAGCAGAGGCATGAGTAAGAAGACATCAGGTGATCTTCATGAGAGTGCAAATATGAAGCTCAGCAACACCATTCTGTTTGGGAGAATGCGAAAGGGTGGAGGTTTGGCGAATGCCATGAGAGGAGCAGTAAGAAAAGAGAGAGCGGTTAATGAACTCGCCACCACCATCAGAGTGGAAGCGTGCGACAGGACGGCCAAAGCGAAGGCGCGCCTGTTTAGCCCAGCGAATGATGAGGGAGGGGGCGTCACATTTGGCACGAAGGGGATAGGCAGTGGCAAAGCGAGAGTGGTCATCGACAAGAAGAAGAAAGTAACGATGACGATGACGGGAGGCAATGGGAGAGGGACCGTAGAAGTCCATATGCACAAGATCAAGGGGTTTGGGAAAGGCACAAGGGGAAGAAGGATGAGGAGATTGAGAGAGCTTGGCTTGAACACAAGGGGTGCACGGAGGAGCGGGAGAGGGTGGAAGGGGTGGGAGAGAGGGAGGGAGATCATGAAGCAGCTTCAAAGTGACCATGCTACAAAGGAGAGGGAAGTTGGGGTGGCCAAGGCGATGATGAAGAAGGGTAGGTTGGGTGAGAGAGCGACACTCGCAAGAGGACACGGGAGGGGAAGAAGAAGAGGAAGTGTGATGGACAGATGAGGGGATGGGAACACGAAGGGTGTAGAGGTGAGTAGTAAGAGAAATGGTGAAACGAGCAAGGTGCCGGTCGTGGTAATGAAGATCACAATATAGTTCACCTGCAAGGAAGAGTGCTCGCACTCCCAGGCGTTGGAGGGCAGGGAGGGATAGGAGGTTATGATGGCAAGAGGGAATATAAAGGCCAGTAATAGCACCAGAGGGAGAGGCAGGATAGGGAGGAGAGGAAGTGCCAGTACAAATCATGGACATGGTCTCCCCAGCCCCATCAATAGTGAGGGGACGAGAAAAATTGTGAAGGACACCAGCATCACGAAAGTCAGAGTCAGTAGCAGCACTGTGAAGGACAAAATCCAAGGTGCGAGGAAGTGAGAGAGCGGCAACCATAGGGCTGGGAGAGTGAGAAGCAGTGCTTTGAAAGGGTGGAGAAAGTGGAACGTCAAAGTGTGAGTCCATAAGAGGAGAAGCACCAAGGATGCTATCCGGAGATGGCATGGTCATACTGAAGACAGAGACCAGAGAACCAATACCAGAGGTTAATGTGGCAGAAGAGCGGCGATGCTAATGGGACAGCGGAATCTAGGCAGAGGGGCGGAGAAGAGGAGAGGTCCAGCGGCAAGTAGGAGAGGTGCAAAGGGAGGAAGGGGCAGTGAAGGGAGCGGAGAGTAGGGAAGGCAAGGGTAGGAGAGGAGGTACGGTGGAAAGAGGATGCGGGGAGAAAAAAGAGGAGGGACAACGGTGGAGTAGTCTGCTGCTGCGCCGCTGAGGGGAGAAACAAGAGGAGGAGGGACAGCGGTGTTGTAGTCTGCTGCTGCGCCGCTGAGGGGAGAAACAAGAGGAGGGATAACGGTGGAGTACTCTGCTGGTGCGCCGCTGAGGGGAGAAACAAGAGGAGGAGGGACAACGGTGTTGTAGTATGCTGCTGCGCCGCTGAGGGGAGAAACAAGAGGAGGAGGGACAACGATGGAGTACTCTCCTGCTGCGCCGCTGTGGGGAGAAACAAGAGGAGGAGGGACAACAGTGGAGTAGTCTGATAGTGCGCCGGTGGGGGGAGAAATGAGAGGAGGAGGAAAGGTTGTCGACAATACACAGTCGGATACCAGCTGTAGCAGATAGGGAGAGAAGAGAGGTGGAGGAAGAGGTGAGAAGGTGAGGGGAAGTGGAGGGAGAGAGGTAAGAGGAGGAGGAGGGTGAAAGAGTGGAATGTGAGGATATAGGAGCACGATCCCCAAGTGACAGGCAACGACAGCAGCTAGTTGCAGGAGAGGCGGAGAGGAAGGAGGTGGAGGAAGGGAGGAGGAGCACGAAGGATAGGGAGGAGAGAAGAGAGGGGAAGGAGTGTAAGAGGCGGATGTGATGAGCGGAGAGGGAGGAGGTGGTGCGAAAGAGGCAGGAGAAGGGGGGGGGAGGAGGGGTTCAGCGCACCACAAAGGGAGGGGAGAACGCCGGCGAAAGGGGGGGTGGTGCGCCGTTTGACGCGGCGTGTGGGCAGGGCAGGGCGCTCTGCGGTAAGCGGTGACGCGGCCGCGGAAAGGAGAAAATGGGCGGTGGGGAGAGTGATGGCGGCAGGCAGATCGTGCGCGCGCGACGGCGGTGGACAAGGCGCGCGTGCGTGCGTGCGATGTTGGCGGACAGGACGCGTGGGCGACGGCATAGGCAGGGCGCTTGCGCGCGACGGGAGTGTAGGATGCATGACGGAAGGGCAAGGGACACGACGAGGCAGAGCAGGGCGCGCACGACGAGGGGAAGTGGCATGCAACTAGGCAACAAGGCGCGCGGCGTGGTGGAAAGGCCACAGGGGATGGATAAGGGGGTTCACGAGTTGAAAATAAAGGGGAAAAAAAACGACGAGATCGTGTTAGGGTTGCACAGCAACTTCGTGTTTGAAGTGAAATAAAAGCATTGGAAAAAATGCATCATTTTCATGCAGTATGATAAACTGTACATGTTTTACAAGACTCGATAAACATCACTAAAATTCATCATCAAGACTCGACACACGACTGCACTACGATTGACGGTGTTTGTCAAAGTACATGTAATTTCTTACCAATCTCTAGTGAGGATTTCTAAAAATTTCTCTCTTCTTTCTGCCATCGCGCTGCTCCAGCTCCTCACGCTACTCCAGTTGCTCGCGCAACTTCCGCCTCTCCTGCGACTCCTGTCAAACTTATATGCTTCTTATTTTGTAGGCTATAGTAGGGTAGCCCATATGGGGTACAACCCAATTAGGGTTAGCACTTGTACCCATCCTGCTATTAGTTAATTGATTCCTCGTTCGTACTTCTGACATGGTTTCAGAGCAAGTCCTAGCCTAGGACCGTTTCCTTATGGCCCACCGAGTAGCGCTACCTCACCCATCGCGCCACCGTGATCGCACCACCCTGCCCTGCCCTGCCCTGCGTCGCGCTGCCTATGCACGCCCTACCCTGCCCGCGCACTGCTCGCCGCAGCGCGCCCTGTTTGACCCGCGCGCCCTGCCCTGCCCGCGCGCCGCGTCACCGCTTACCGCAGAGCGCCCTGCCCTGCCCACGCGCCGCGCCGCTGCGTCACCCTGCCCGCGCGTCGCCCGCTGTCGTGTGCCTTGCTTTGCCCGTGCGCTGCCTGCAGCTACGCGCCCTGCCCTGCCCGCGCGCCGTTCGCTGCAACGCGCCTTGCCCTGCCTGCGCGCCGCCCGCCGCCTAGCGCCCTGCCCTGCCCGCGCACCTTGCCCTGCCCGCACGCTGCGCCGCTGCGTGCCCTGCCCTGCCCGTGCGCTGCTTTGCCGCGCACCCTGCCCTGCCCGCTGTTATAGTTACAGTAGGCTCCAGTGTGCCTAAAACGAAAGATAGAGTGCATTGTCGGATTTCTACACAGCGGCTTTAAACGTTCATAGCGTTCTAGTCACAGCTTTAAATTACCCGATTCAAATTGGATCTGGAGCGTCTTAGTGTCGCCTACAATAGGCAGTTTAGATTGTACAATTTCATCATGTATTGACGACACAGCGTTGGTTTGAATGAATAGCACTATGGTAGCCACTAAAGTATTAGAACACAAGATTAGGAAGAGTTATGAGTTGGGAATGACTCCCAGCTCCTACAAACCCCAAGAGCCGAGATACAATGATGTGGAATAGTGTTACACTATCCTCAACCAAGAAGGGTCTCGAAACTACCCTACACAAGGGTCTACACCGACAGATATGTTACACTACACATTGTAAGGTAACTATCTTTAACATCCTGAAGTGTACCCTTTTGGTGAGCTTCGAAATCACTTGAGGCTTGACACCAAGGCTCAGGTTTTTCATCACAAACTCATCCTTGAGTTCTTGATAGGTCTGCTGCAGACACCTGCGACACGGCGACGTTTGACACACGACAAAATAGAAACCGCGCACGAGACACACGACAAAATAGAAACCGTGTGTGAGACACAAATGACCGTGTGACACGCGACTAGCGATAACTCGCTATGGACTCGACACACACACACACTCGACATCATGAATTTTCATGCACACACTATTATAAGCATGAAATAGATATATTATATCATGCCCTCATTCCATTCCATGCACACACACATGCACGCACACGGGCAACAAGCCAAGTGCAAACTGTAGGTTGCACCAACAAACTCACCCTAGGATTGTTGGCCTTAGGATCTGCTCCTCTTAGTTCAGGGCCATTCCAGCCAGCTTGCAACACTTCCAATGCTACTGCTCCACCAGCCTCTTGGTCATCATGTCTGCCGGCTGTCCCGTCGTCTTCACGTAGTGCAACTCAACTTCACCCGCGGCCACCATGCTCCTCGTCCAATGCCACTTCACCCTCATGTGGTTCGTAAGGCCATGCAACACAGGATTCTTAGCAAGAGCAATGGCACCTTGGCTATCACAGTAGAGAGGGGTAGGTCCTTGCTGCTCCTCCCCCAATTCAGCCAACAAACGCCGCTGCCATACAATCTCCCGTACCGCACGGAAGAGTGCCATGTACTCGGACATCACCGAGCCCAAAGCATGGTCCACCTGCTTCTTGCTCTCCCAAGCAGTTGGGCCTCCACAAACACAGCAAATGAACCCTCCAACACTTGTCATGTCCTCTGGTGCCGATGCATATGAAGCATCCAATTAGGCAGTGAGGAACAAACGCCCGAGTTCAACACCATCCGCGCCCTTTTGGCGCCTTTGCGCCGCCGCCGAGTATTGCAGCCCAACGGTCAGTGTCTGGCCAAGGTACTTGGCCACCCTCATTCCAGCTGCTACCTACTCCTTATTAGGGCATTGCACAACCCTAGCCAGCTACCCGGTGGCGAAGGCAACGTCCGGTCGAGTGTTTACCGCGGCATACATGAGGCTGCCCACCACAAGTGAAAACGACACCTCTCCTCTTCACCAATGCTCTCCTCCTCTGGTCCCTTCACACATTTGAGCCCACAAGGAAGGGGAGTAGCTACATGGCCTCCACTGAGACCAAAGTTGGCAGCCAACGCCTCCAGGTACTTGCGTTGGTGCACCCGCATGCACCGCTTCTCCACATCGCGTTCGATGTGAAGCCCGAGGTAGAAGTTCACATCACCAAGGGCCTTACACTTGAATATATCCTGAAGCTTCAGCATCACCTCCTTCACAAGGTCAGAGGAGGGTGAGAAGATGAGGATGTTATCCACGTACAGGACCATGAAGCTCCTCTGCTCCCCCTCGCCAAGCATGAACAAGGAGTGGTTGGCCGTTGAGGGTGTGAAGTTGATCCCCTCCAACACTTCACGCAGCTTCATGTACCATTGCCTAGGGGCCTGCTTCAGCCCATAGAGGGCCTTCTTCAGCTTCCAAACTCTGCCGCTACCATCATCAAACCCCTCTGGCTGCGCCATAAATATCTCCTCCCCAAGGATGCCGTTAAGGAATGCCGTTGTAATATCCATCTGCTTCACCACCCATCCTTTGATTGCGGCTCCCGCAAGTAGGGTCCGCAGCTTTGTCGGCTTCACCATAGGAGCAAACAGCTCATTGAAGTCCACCTTCTCCTTCTACTGGTACCCTTTGGCCACAAGCCTAGACTTGTAGCGCTTGATCATGCCGTCGGCATTGGACTTGATCTTGAAAAACCACTTGGACGTAATATCCTTACGCCCCTCCGGTAGCTCCACAAATTCAAATGTGTCGTTCTCCTCAATGCTCTTCAACTCACTCTCCATTGCCTTTTTCCACTCCTCAGCATCACTAATCTCCAAGGCTTCCTTGAGAGTTGCTGGTCCTCCCGGCATCCCCACCGGAGGGAAGAACACGAACGCACACTCCTCGTAGTCACTCTCCTCGTCGTCTCTGACCATCATTGCCGCTCCGACCAAGGCTGTCTTGCCTTGCTTTCAAGGTGCATCATAGGTCAGCCTATTAGGGGCTTGGACTCTTCTCTTGCCCCTTCCTTCCTTCTCAGCTGCAGGGACTTGAAGGCCTTGGCGTTGCTGCGGTGTGGCTCGGATCCGTGGAGCACTCGTAGCGCGTGAAGGAAGTGCCGGTGCACGCTCGCTCACTTGCTGCACTTCCTCCTCTTCTTCCTCTGCATCCTTGGCCTCCCCTTCCCCATTCTCGAAGATTTCCTTGTGGTAGTGCTGCCGCTGCTCAGCTCCAAAGTCAGCTCCACACGCTCCAATTCGGAACTCTTCACCTCCCCAAACCGCACACCTATCTTCGCCTCATTCTTAGCCTTCCAATCCTTGTACATGAGATTCTCCATGAACTTGCAGTCCCTGCTCACCAAGAACTTCTTGGTGAATGGGTCCCAAAAAAGCCAACCCTTGCTGTTTTGAGCCATGCCCAAGTGCACCGCCCATATCGCCTTGGCACGGAGCTTGTTGTGCTGAAGATGGTTGGGCACGAGCGCCATGCACATGCACCCAAACACCCGAAGCATATCTGTTGTGTGATGCAATCATATGCATTCACGTCTGTATGCCTCCCATCATATGTCCGTGCGTTGCATGCGTGGTGTGAGCGTGTGCAAGAATTTGTGTTTGATGTGGTTGGGTTGATCTGAGTGTGTGTGAATGTTATTTTGCTTGAGCAGATATCTGAAGTGACTCCTCTGCTCAAGAGCTTTCCGTCGAGCCAAGTATCGCTTCAATCGGAGCATGAACAAGAAAGTTACGAACATTTGAAGTTCGTATGCTTTTCATATTTGGTTGTGGTGACTATGGGAAGTTGTGGGGTTGACTCCATAAAGGGTATAGACTTTTGGGGGTTGGGAAATTCGTCCCCATCACTGTAGATGCTGCCAAGTGGTTGGGAGAAACCAAACCAGGTTGGCAAGTGTGGCCAAGTTGGGTAAGGTGGATGGCATGGGTTGGGAAAGTGACAAAAGTAAAAGCGAGAGGGGATTTGATGTGCTCATGGGGTTTCCCTGGTTGGGGATTCCTTGGGGACCTTCCCTCCCGTCCTCCTCTTCAACCCCCTCCTACCTGATTTCTACCTACTCTAACTTTCTTGTGAGGAACTTATGAGAACAATTCTGAGTGAGTTTAGTTTAATGGCAGCAAACCCCCTAGTGCGCCAAAATTCATAACTCAAGAGTTACTTCACCTTTTCGTACGATTCAAATTGGGAATTGTAACCAGGGACTAGAGCTAAAACATATTCGAAATTGGTGAAGTTTCAACTGTGAAAGTTTGTGGAAGGCGTTTCTTGTGAAGTCGACAATCCTGTCCACATTTCTCGGCCAACGATTTTGAGAAATTTAGGCCCCTAATCTTCGTAGACTCCGTCCTTATAGTTTCTAACAATATCCACCTTAGGCTTCCTTACTAGCGACTCCACATAGGGCATCCATTTATCTTCTCCCACATGATTCAAAGCTCTGTTCTCGGCCACACACGCACTCCGCACTGCATCAGGCCAGAAATAGTCGAGTAGCCCGGATTCAATGAGCAGCACGCATGCTGTCTCCGTGAATGTGCGGTTCGCTCGCTCGGCGATACCGTTCATTGCAGGGGAGTATGGCATGGTAAGGGAGTGCCTTATCCCATTCTTCTTCAGCCACAATCCGAACTCCTTGCTCAGGAACTCTTCCCCACGATCAGTGCAGGTCGAATTCACAAGCCGGTCTTGTTGCCGCTCCACCATCGGCAACCAATCGGTCTTCACCGTTTCAACAACCTCGATCTTCTTGGACAGCACATGCACCCAAGTCATGCAGGTGTAGACATCCACAATGGTGAGGAAATATTCAGCTCCAGCAGCTCCAAGCTTCAGGGGGGCCACCCGTCCATCACCACCTTATCAAGTGGTGCCTTTGCCGTTGCCTCCGAACTAGGGAACGGAAACCGAGTGAACTTGGATTGAATGCACGTCGGGCAGCCAAGCACTCCATCAGGCTCCCCCTTCACACGTATGCCAGCACATTCTTCACTAGCTGCAAGATAGGCAGGGCCACATGCCCCATTCGCCGATGCAAGGTGAGCCAATCACACTCCCCCGTAGCCGAAGCTGGATTGGAGAATGCCGCGCTCGCAATAGCGCCCCACATGCTCTCTCCGTACTCCTCTGCTGCTGCCTTAGGGTTCTCCTCACCCTTGTGCTGCTTCTTGGCTGCTGCACCACTCTCCTCGTGTTCACCAATCTTGCTGGTCCCTCCAAGATTGCTCTTCTTGGACTCAATCTCCTTAGCGCGACCGTTTGCGCCATTGCCGCTACCAACCGCTTCACCCTTGGTGCTGACGCTTGCTGCCACTTGCTGCCACTTGCCTCTCCTTAGGCATGGGGACCAAAGGGATCTGCCACATCTCGTTGTAGACATCCCTGTCTTTGTGAAGGTCCCATAGAATCCACTCGCCAAGCCTCGCAGTGTAGGTCTTGGCTCCCTTCGAGTTCGTGTCCATGCCGGCCTTTGCCAATTGCCGCACAAAAATCAGGTTTGCAGCAAGGCTGGGCACCCAAAGCACGTTCTTGAGGCCCACCATCTTCCCATCAACACCCTTGAATATGGCCCTGCCCATGCCTTTCACCTCTGCTCGCTGGCCCAAAGCCGATTCGACATGCTTCACCTGTGACAGTTCAAGTTCGGTCAGCAAGTCCGCGCAAGGTGTCATGGTGTAGGTAGCACCACTATCGATCACCCAAAAGTCCAGAGGGTGTAGGGTGACCTGTCCCACAGCTGTTGGCTCCTCAAAGACTTCGTCATTTTCTGGTGCAGCCGGTGCTTGCATAGACACGAAGTAGAATTGACCCAGGTACCGATCGCCACTCGGATTCTTGTCGTTATCTTTGCTCTTCATGTTTGCAGCATACATGAGGCTGCCCACTGAGTAATAACGGTGCCTCTCCTCTTTACCAACGCTCTCCTCCTCTGGTCCCATCACACACTTGAGCCCAGACTAAAAGGGATTAGCCACATGGCCTTCACTCTGCCCAAAGTTTGCAGCCAAGGCCTCCAGGTACTTCCGTTGGTGCAATCGCATGCACCGCTTCTCCATGTGACGCTCGATGTGGAGCCCAAGGTAGAAGTTCATGTCACCAAGGGACTTGCACTTGAACTTGTCTTGAAGTTTCAGCATCACCTCCTTCACAAGGCCAGAGGAGGGTGAGAAGATGAGGATGTCATCCACGTACACCACCATGAAGCTCCTGTGCTCCCCCTCGCCAAGCATGAACAAGGAGTGATCGGCCGTTGAGGGTGGGTTGGGGTTGGGTGACATGAGGTAGGTGCATTAGGGCAGCCAGAATGACCGGGCTGTAACAGGGTGCTTTTGAGAATTCTCAAAAACACCCTGCAGCATCTGTAACACATGGTATGGTGCATGCACCCATGCTTATGGTTGGTCCTGCCTGCCTACCACCCATCCCCACAAGGTATTGGTATGCCATGGCATCAGCAATGTTGTGTTACATACTCCGTTGCATGGTTTTTGAGAATTCTCAAAAACCAGCTCGACACACACTCCGATACATGCACACATGCATGCAATTATCATCCATGCTTATGGTTGTTCTCCCTTGCCTCTTGCAATGGGTGATTCTCCCCCTCTGCCCCCCATCCCACAGGTTCGGTTATGACATAGCATCAGCCATGTTGGGGCACACGCACCCATGCACCCATGCACCCATGCATTCACCAGTCACCCATGCTTCTATTGTTTCCTCCTCCTCCTCTCTCCCCCCCCCCCCCCCCCCCCCCCCCCCCGCTTGCCCCCCATCCCACAGGTACGGCTATGCGACAGCATCAGCCATGCTGGGGTACACGCAGCATGGCCACATGTATTCCTGTCGTGTGCCATAGTAACGAGGTGACTTTTGAATCGCCTCGAAAGTCACTGCGTCAGCCATGCTGGGGTACACGCAGCATGGCCACATGTATTCCTACCCTCCTCTCTCTCTCTCTCTGTTATCCCCTGCCGCCTCACCTTTCCACTCAGGTACGAATATGCAACAGCATTGGCCATGCTGGGGTACACGCAGCATGGCCACATGTATTCCTATCGTGTGCCATAGTAACGAGGTGACTTTTGAGTCGACTCGAAAGTCACAGCGTCAGCCATGCTGGGGTACACGCAGCATGGCCACATGTATTCATATCCTCCTCTCTCTCTGTTATCCCCTGCCGCCTCACCCCCCCACTCAGGTACAGCTATGCGACAGCATCGACCATGCTGGGGTACACGCACATCCTCCGAAAAGACTAAATGATACAAGTGAGCTAACTGTTGAGGCGCCTCAAGAATGATCGAGGCAAGTAAGTGAGGTGGGGAGCTGTTGACGCTGATGATGGCTGCTGGCTGGCTCACACCCCCCACCAGCGCCACGCTAGTGATGACTGCTAGCTTAGGATAGGTGGAACACACCCCATCTGCCAGTACTGTATCAGCCATGCTGGGGTACACGTACTACACGCACATCCTAAGAAAGGACTGGGGTGAGCAGCTTGGGTGGTTTGGTGGTGGTGACTGTTTGTGGCTAGCGGCAGAAGGAGCTGGGGTGGGGTTTACAGGCACACTGCATGCGCTACAGGCACACTGCATGCACTAAAGGCAGACTGCATGGGCTACAGGCACACTGCATGTGCTCCAGCTGCTGTGCTGTGCCACAGCATCGCCCATACAGGGGCACACACACATACACGCACACACACGCACATACATGCCGAACAGTCAGAGGAAGGAATGGATGATCCAAGTGAGCCTGTGTAGCCACGTGTAGAGAGGGTATTTTTGAGACGTCTCAAAAATACCCTCTCTACATTTGAGACGTCTCAAAAATCGTCCATACAAGGGCGCAAACACATACACGCCACACAGTTTGAGGAAGGAATGGAATGGATGATCCAGGTGATCCTGTGATTGCCCCTCTCGCCGCGTGTGTGCCCCTCCTTCCCTTCCATGCCCCTCTCTCCCTCCCATGCTCTTCTCTCCCCTCTATGCCCCTCTCTCCCCTCCATGCCCCTCCCTCCCCTCCATATGCCTCACTTTCACCCATGCGCCTCTCACCTCCCACGCCCCTCTCTCCCCTTCCTCACCCCGCGTTCCCCTCCCACTCCCCTCGTTCCCTCTGTGTAGTCTCCTTGGGACAAAGCAGTAGGCGATGCATACATGATTCACTACACCTACGGCTGTGGCTACAACCTCAATGCCCCTTTCATCTCCCATCCCATCCCATTACCCTCTCCCATCCCATGCCTTCCTCCATGCAGCCTCCTTGGGACAGATCAGTAGGCGACGCATACATGATTTTCTACACCTATGGCTGTGACTACGACCTCAATGTAAGCACATATGGGTAGAATAACAAACTTTCCGAGCAGGTAAGGGAGTGTTATGCTACTTTGCATGACCTCCCAACTGCCAGAATTCAAGACACTAAGGTGTGTGACTATGACCTCAATGTAAGCACACATGGGTGTACCGTGTAAGAACACACATGGGTATAGGAACACACATGGGTATAAGAACACACATGGGTATAAGAACACGCATAGGTATAGGAACACACATGGGAATAGGAACACACATGGGTATAAGAACACACATGGGTATAAGAACACACATGGGTATAAGAACACACGTGGGTATAAGAACACACATACAGAGTAGGTAAGAAAGGTTTCCGTTGATGGCATGCAAGGCATTGTGGGAGGGGGAGGTGAAGTATTTTGTGTGGACAAGTGCCCTTGTTCGAGACGTCTCAAAACATCACTTTTATCACGTTATGACACGCTAAGCATAGGGAGTAGGGGGGAGGGGCGGGAAGTGAAGTGTGCTATGTGGACAAATGCCCTCATTCCCATCTCATTTTACTGGCCTTTTGAGATGTCTCAAAACATCACTTATATCACGTTATGAGACGCTAAGTGTAGGGGGTAGGGGGCCGGGGCGGGGGGTGAGGTATTCTATGTGGACAAGCGCCCTCCTTCCCATCTCGTTTTTCTACCTTCCGTATCCTCCCACACATTCTAATTCCAAGGAAATCACCTGCCTGGCAAGGTGGGGCCATGGCACTTTGACAAGAGAGACCACCAAACAGCCATTCCTCCCAACATCTCCTACCCACCCGCCGGCTCTGCTCCCTCTGTGGTACGTGCAAATGGTAATCTCCTCCAGTAACGTGAGTAGATGGTTATAGATGGTTACTCGGTTACCTACAATGCAAGGTGGGGCCATGGCACTTTGACAAGAGGGACCACCAGAGAGCCATCCCCCGAAACATCTCCTACCCACCAGCCAACTCTGCTCCCTCTGTGGTACGTTGTACGCGCCATAAGTAGTGGGGGAGAACAAGGGGTCACAAGACCAGTCAAGAAAAGCAAAGCAAGCTCAGGGTGGATCACAATGTCACCACACAGTCCGACCACAAGAGTAAGGCCACAAGGCCAGTTCACATACAAGATCATATATAAAGGTAAACAAGCAAGTGCAGGTATAGAAATATCACAGTACAAGCAAGGTCAAGAAGTGAGCAAGTAAGGCCAAGTAGGCATAAGACCTAGCATAGTACAGAAGCGCTGATGATCAATAGGTAGAAGTGCCTTGGTAAAGATATCAGCAGTGTTGGCCTCAGAGGCCACGTAGGTAAGGCGTAGCTGACCACGCTGCTGCAGCTCACGAGCCAGGAAGTACCGAAGAGCAATGTGCTTCGTTCTGTGCTCCAGTCTGTGCTCCCGACACAATGCCAGCATGGCCTTGTTGTCTACGTACAGAACTGGAGGAGAACAAGGCGGCTCTCCTAGGTCAGTCAGCAGGTAGGTGAGTAAGCGTAGCTCCTGTGCAGCCATGGCCCCCGCGTAGATCTCAACCTCACAGCTGGAGGAGAGAACAGAAGACGAGCGGGTAGACAGCCACGAAACAGAGCCGGAGCCAAGGCTGAAGGTGTAACCCTGTGACGACCGCTGCGTAGCCAGGTCGTCAGCCCAAGAAGCCTCAGCGTAGCCTGTGAGGACCACTCAACGTCGCCCTCCAAGCACTAGCCCCATGCCTGACGTACTGCACAAGTAGCGCAACACCCTCTTTGCTGCAGCCATGTGCTCTGGTCGGTGTCTCCCAAGAGCAACATAGCGTGCCAGGATGCTAAAAGGGTATGCAAGGTCAGGTCGTGTGCAGGTCATCAGGTACATGAGGCAGCCAACAAGCTCTGGGTACGGGCCACTCGGCTTTACGGACTCATTCGAAGGCAGAGCTGAGAGCGAGTGGCGAGTAGACAGAGGAGTGGCCTGAGGAGAGGGTGTACAGGCTCGACCCCAGCCGACGGGTGAATGTGGCCAAGTGTCGGCCTGTTTGAGCACACGTGCAGTGGGTCACCCGCTGACTCGCAGGAGTGAACTGGTCAACCCCCCTATCCTGTAGATCAGCTCCACTCACCAAGTTTGTAGAGAACGAGGGGAGGTAGTGACCTGACAGGGTGCCAGAGGGGGCTGCCAGACACAGTAAGACAGTGGAGAAGCAAGCAAGGATAGGGCCCCCAGAGGGGTCCGCTTGGGAGACCGCAACCGGCCGACTAAGCGGCGTAAGCGTGGTGCGGTCTCGAAAGAAGGAGCGGGAAGCACCCGAGTCAAGGGTGAAGGTGTGTAAGGCCTGAGCCGACGTAGTACTTGAGAGAGCAGACTCACCAGCACCTGGGGCAGCAGACGCACTAGCACCTAGAGCAGCAGCCTCACCAGTACCTAGAGCAGCAGCCCCTATGCCCGGGTCAGGCGAAACACACAGGTAACAGTCACCCTCAACATTATCAGTCACAGCATACATGGCAGCGAGAATAGTGTCAAAATCAAGATCAAAGATAGCAACCCCCGCCCTAGACAGCTCTCCCCGGCGAGGGATCTCAGAAGCCTCATGGAACTGGTGACGCCACGCGTCCGTTAGGCGGCCGAAGCAGCGATAGGTGGAGTGCGGGCACCCGCACTGCTTACCAGCGCGGTCGCCGGTACGGAGAACGTAGGTGCAGGGACCAGTACCCCCACCGCGCTAACGCGTAGCGTACCACTCACGAAGCTGCTGAGGGGACAGGGTCTCACGACTGCGCTACTGCTGCTGACGGTGACCACCACCGGAGCCACTCCTCTGCGCAGAGCCGCGACCAGGTCCACCGCTGCCGCCGCCGCCTCCTCCACCTCCGCTGCCTCCGCCACCTCCGCCGCCTCCGCCAGCTCCGCCACCTCCACCACCTCCGCCACCTCCGCTCCCTCGGCCACCGCCGCCGCCTCCTCCGCCTCCACTGCTGCCACCAACACCTCCACCCCCACCACCACTCCCACCACCACCCCCACCCCCTCCACTGCCTCCACCACCACCTTCACCGCCCCCGCCAGCCCCTCCAGCGCCCTTGCCCTCCTTGCCCTTGCCGGTGCAGCGCCTCCTGCTTGGGGCAGACGCAGCGCCGACCGACTCGAAACCAACGAGGTCGGCCGCAGTAGCAGAAGCAACAAAGCGCAAGAGGGGGGAGGGGGAACACCCCTCAAAGACGGGGGTGCAAGGTTCACCACGAGAGGCTCCTACAGCAAGTATGCTCTTCTTTGCTGCTAGGAGGCGCTCCTCGAGGAGGTTGACGGTCAGTGTGGTGGGGCAAACTGAGAGGAAGTGGTCTCTGACTAAGCGAAGGGAGTCAGGGAGGCGGGTGACTATGTAGTAGAGGGTGATGTACATGGGGGAAGGGTTCTTGGCACAGAACTCAGCACGAAGCGCAGCGCGGTAGCGAATGTCACTAGTGCGAAGGTGAGTAATGAGGTCAGTGACTGTGGGAAAGGCAGCAAGGTCAGGGAACAGGTACGGCAGCATGAGGCAGCTAAGAGCAGCAGTGGCAGGGGAGGAGTAGCGGGCAACTACAGCGTCGTACAAGGTCTTAGCACTCTTGTACTGGCTAAAGTGCACACGCTCAGTGGTCGGTAAGTGGCGACGCATAGCAAGGCGAGCAGCAGCATCGCGTGTGGCCCACTGTGAGCGAACAGTGCTGTCAGCAGTACCAGACAGGGGGGTAGAGACACTGGAGGTGAGATAGAACAGAGAGAGATCGTCTGCCGTATCGCACTGGAGAAACAGCTGGAGGTCATCGACCCAGACCTCAAAGTCAACGACACGGCCCTCAGCATCAAAGGTAAGGACACTAGGGGTAGCCATGACTGCAGTGGCCTAGTAGGGAGTTATCTCACGAGTCCGAGTAAGTAGAGCCGGGGCGCGCCGGTAGGAACAGTAGCGGCTCGACAGTAGGGCGGCTCGGCGGCTCGGCTGGTGGGCGGTTCGGCGGCTCGGCGGCTCGGGTGCTCGGCGGCTCGGCTGCTGGGCGGGTCGGCTGTTGGGCGGCTCGGCTGCTGGGTGGCTCGGCAGCTCGGCTGCTAGGCGGCTTGGTGGCTCTGGTGCTGGGCGGCTCGGCGGCTTGGGTGCTGGGCGGCTCGGCTGCTGGGCGGCTCGGCGGCTCGGTCGCTGGGCGGCTGAGCGGTGACAGGGCCGGTAGAGGCGGCAACGTGGCCGCTGGGGGAGGTGACGGGGCCGCTAAGGGCGGCGAGGCGGTTGCAAAGGGCGGCAACGGATCCTCCAGGGGAGGGTGACGGGGCCGCAGGCGACGGCGGCGGGGCCATAGGTGGCGGCGACGGGGCCGCAGGTGACGGCGACGGGGCCGTAGGTGGCGGCAACGGGGTCGCAGGTGGCGGCGGCGGGGCCGTAGGTGTCAGCGACGGGGCCGCAGAGGGGCTGCAGAGGGGCCGCAAGGGGCCTAGATGGGGCCTTAGAGGGGCCGCAAGCGGCCTAGACGGGGCGGGGACGAGGCCGTAAGGGGACGTAAGGGCGCCGCGAGGGGGCCGACGTGCGGCGCGAGAGGCCTTAAGGGGCCGTAAGGGCGGCGCGAGGGGCCGTAAGGGCGGCGTAAGGGGCCGTGAGAGGGGCCGCTAAGGGCGACGCGAAGGGGCCGTGAGAGGGCGCGACAGTAGGGAGGGCACACAGAGCACGACTCGGGCAGGAGCGAAGCGCGTAGGAAAAAAAAATGGTGGTGGGCCCTAGGAAGCGTTCCCACTAGGGAACCTGCTTTGATACCATGATAAGAAACGAGGAAATGATTGCATTGAGCAAGATGAGGAGTACAAGTAGGAAACCCTAAAGTGTTGTACCCCATATGAACTACCCCACTACAGCCTACACAGACTATAGCATATAAGCGTGACACCCTGCTGCCCGCGCGCCCAGGCCGAGCCGTGCCACCCGACACGATCCGCCCTTCTGCTTGTGCTACTGCTGTTTCTGGTGGAGGTGCTGCTAGGAGTGCTAGAGGTGCTGTAGCCTAGCCTCACGAGCCGCACTACTGTTCGTCTTTTTGCTATTGCTACTCGTACTACTGCCTTTACTCCGTACTGCCCTAGAGGTCGCGATCCTCCTATCTTGCTAGCCATGACTTCACTTTGTAGTCGCGGTGGGAGAGGTGACGGCGGTGGTGGCAGGAGTGGGAGTCGTGGCGGCCGTATTAGTAGTCACTGTGGAGCTGTGTGCTGTCGAGTCTCTGGCGGTGGCCAGATGCAGCTACGGCGGCGTTCAAACCTTACGCCCCAGCCGCTTCGTGAGTGGCTTTACCAGCGTGGGACGTCTCCGAGTCCTGGTCGCTCTCCGTACGTCATTCGCACAGGTCGTCAAGCTGGCCAGACCTGTGGGACACCTGGTCACGCACAGTCCCGCTGCTTCGCCTATTTGACTGACGCATGGCACGCAGAGTTTGGCAACGAGGCTGAGACCCCCCACTGGCTTGAGCTGCTTAGGTCGGGCGTTGATGTCTTTGCTTTAGACTATGACGCCATCCTTACTGCCATGTCCGCTTTGCCTAATGGTGCTGAGAGTGACTGTAACCTGTGTGTGCAATACGACCCCGGTACAGAGGTTGCTGCTCTAGGTGCTAGTGAGGCTGCTGCCTTAGGTGCTACTGAGTCTGCTCTCTAAGGTACTGCACCTGCTGAGGCCTTGCACACCTTCACGCTTGACTCAGGTGCTTCCCGCTGCTTCTTCCGTGACTATAGCGCACTCACACCACTTCCTGCACCTGTTGCAGTTTCTCTGTGCTTCCGTGCTCGGCGGTTCCGTCTGGCTCACTGTCAGGTCTCCACCTCCCTTCGTTCTTGACGAATTTGGTGAGCAACGCTGTCCTCCAAGTTCATTGGGTTGACACCTTTACCCCTGGAGGACAGCGTGTGGCAATCTGTACATGCTCCAGGACTTGCCGTCACCTGGCCAAATTGACCCGTCGACCAGGGTCGGGTCTTTACACACTAACGAATGTGTCTCCTCAAGTAGTTGTTGTCGGTCAGGTGTCTGCATCAGGTCTGGCAGCCTCCCCCTGTGAGTGTCGCTCCCTGTCGCACCAGACTCTTCTCTGGCACCACGCATGGGTCACCCCTCCTTGCCACGTCTCCATGGCATGCACCGTTGCCTCCTTGTGTCTGGTCTTCCCAAGTCTCTCCCTCTCCTCCCTACCTCGCATGCGCCGCCCTGCCTTCCTTGCGTCGAGGGGCGGCAGCGCGCTGCTCCTCACTCTTCGTTTCCCCTGATAGAGGCTCCTCTCTAGACCCTCCACCTTGACGAGTGGGGCCCACCCCCCTTTGGGGACAGGGCGGTGAGCGGTACTTTCTGCTGGTTGTCGACGACTACTCGCGTTACACCACGGTCTTCCCCTTGTGCACCAAGGGTGAGGTCCCTGCTGTATTGATCCCTTGGATCCGAGCAGTTCGTCTCCAGCTCCGCCGCAGATTCCGCCAGGACCTTCTCGTCCTCCGTCTGCACTTTGACAGAGGTGGTGAGTTCACCTTCGACCTCTTGTGAGCCTTCTGTCAGGGGGAGGGCATCGAGCAGCTGTTCACGCTTCTGGGCTCACCGCAGAAAAATAGGGTTGCTGAGCACCGCATTGGCTTAGTCATGGAGGTCGCTCGTACCTCCTTAATTCATGCGGTGGCTCCCCATTTTCTGTGGTCGTTTGCGGTCCAGTACGCCGCGCAGCAGCTCAACCTCTGGCCCCGTATCTCCTTGACGGAGACCTCGCCCACACTGCGTTGGACGGGGGAGGTTGGCGATGCGTCGCGTTTCCGGGTCTGGGGTGCTCGTGCCCTTGTCCGCAATACGCCTGCGGACAAGCTCTCTTCTCGAACCATTCCTTGTGTCTTCCTTGGCTTTGTCCGTGACGCGCCTGGCTGGCAGTTTTACCACCCCACATCGCCCCGTGTCTTCCCCTCTCAGGACGTCACCTTTGACGAGTCGGTTCCTTTCTACCGTCTCTTCCCCTACCGCACTGCCCCTCTCCCTCCGCCGCCGCTTTTCCTCGCTCCAGGTCCCAATCCGGTAGACCCGCTCCCCCCTCAGGGTCCTGCTACTTCAGGTGTGACTCAGGTAGACCCGCCCCCCATGGTTGAGCGTGTAGAGGTAACTAGCAACTCAAGTACTGCTGGGGGTGCTGCATCTAGGGGTGCTGAGCCTGCAGCTGCGGAGTCTGGGGGTGCTGAGCCGGAGGGTGCCGGGTTGGGGGGTGCTGAGTCTGCTGGCGTTCCTCTGGGTCTCGTTTCACGACGCGGGCCTGTCTCACCACAGTAGGCACGAGAGTGGCTTGCGTCGTGTACACGCCTGAGGAGTCGTGCTGTTGGAGCTGCTTGTCGTGGAGGCGCTAGGATAGCTAGTGTCTCTGACCCTGGAGGTGCTCGTATTGGAGGTACTAGAGCTTGTCCGTGAGGTGCTGGGGTGTGCGGAGCCTAGGGGTGTTGAGCCTACGAGTGCGAAGTGTTGTGTGATGCAACCATATGCATTCACGTCTGTCTACCTCCCATCATGTGTTTGTGCGTTGCATGCGTGGTGTGAGTATGTGCAAGAAATTTGTGTCTTGTGTGGTTTGGATTTTCTGTGTGTGTGTGTGTGTGTGTGTGTGTATGTTATTTGGCTTGAGCAGATATCTGAAGTGATTCCTCTTCTCAAGTGCTTTCCGACGAACCATGAATCGTTGCGATCGGAGCACAACCAAGAAAGTTACGAACATTGGAGTTCGTATGCTTATATATTTTGGTTGCAGCTACTTTGGGAAGTTGTGGCATTGACTCAATATGGGGTACAGACTTGTGGGGGTTGGGAAATTCGAACCCATCACTGTAGATGCTGCCAAGAGGTTGGGTGAAGCCAAACCAGGTTGGTAAGTGTGGCCAAGTTGTGGTGAGGTGGATGGCATGGGTTGGAAAGTGACAAAGGTCAAAGTTTGTTGCCTATGGGGAAGGGAATTGTGTGGCATGGGGTTTCTTTGGTTGGGGACTCTCTCTTGGGACCTTCCCTCTCGTCCTCCTCTTCCCCTCCTACCAGGTTTAGTGTTACTCTAATGTTCTTTTGTGGGACTTGTGAGTTAATTGTGATTGAGTTAAATTTCTGTGGCAGCATACCCTCTAGTGCGCCGAAAGACATAACTCAAGATATGCTTCATATTTTGATACAATTCAAATTGGGAAATGTAGCCACGGTCTAGGGCTACAACATATTTGAATTTCGTGGGATTCTAACAATGCACCTTTCGTCGACAACGTTTCTTGTGAAGTCGACGTTTCTGTCCAGAAATTGAGACCAACGATTTTGAGAAATTTGGGCACCTAATCTTCATAGACTCCGTCCTTAGTCTCTAACACGAAGCATGGGGGTGCTGAGCTGGAGGGCGCCGGGTCGGGGGGTGCTGAGTCTGCTGGCGTTCCTCTGGGTCTCGTTTCACGATGCGGGCCTGTCTCACCACAGCATGCTCGAGAGTGGCTTGCGTCGCGTACCCGCCTAAAGAGTCGTGCTGCTAGAGCTGCTTGTCGTGGAGGCGCTGGGAGTGCTGGAGTCTCTGGTCCTGGAGGTGCTCGTACTGGAGGTACTAGAGCTGTCGGGACTGGTACTGCTCCTGGAGTGGTAGGTGACGGCTCTGGGGGGGCTGCTGCTGGAGGTACTGGGGCTGGAGGCCCTGTAGCTGGTGCTCTCGACCCTGGCGTTGGAGACCCTAAAGCTGGAGGTGCCGGTTCTGGGGGTGCTGCTCCTGGAGGCCCTGGAGCTAGTACTGTTGACTCTGGAGTTGGGGACCCTGGGGCTGGAGGTGCCGGTTTTGGGGGTGCTACTACTAGTGGCCCTAGAGCTGGAGGTTCTGGAGC